GGGGGGGCAACATCCTTTCCCGTTTGTATCAAAACTTGGATTGAACTAATGCAGCAAAACAGAGTAGATTGTTTTAAAAGCGATGTCCTCTAAATTTTACGGCGTATCAGTCTCTGTGGGCAAACTAGGCTAGACATCGGCTCATATTCTCAATTGTTGTGTTGTATTTGCAGTTTACGTTTCCTCCTTCCCTCTGTCGGTTCTTCGTTCGCTTGTTTCTATTTTACAGAGCGAAGCTCAGTTTGGTAGTGTAGTGTGAGGAGATTACTCAGACCTTGCCCACACTCATTAGGCTCTTCAAGTGTATTAGCCTAGCTGGCGTAAGTAGCTCATGGAGTCCGTGAGCGGTCAGGAGTTCGACAACCGTCCGTAGGATACGTAGAAGAGAAGAATCTATAGAATGAGCAATATGTAGAAGGCTGTAGGCATGGGGAAAGCACTTGCCAAAGCTTTCCTCACTTTTGAATCTACTCGGCGACCAACACTTTAGGAGGTGCCAGCTTCCCTATCACAGTGTTTAAGTTTTCTTAACTGAAACGTGTTACAAAGTCGACTTTAGTGAAGGCCGTTTCACTATAGAAAAATGGAGACCAGATCAAGTAAAGAGAAAAGCTCGGCGCCAGAACGAGAGAGCAACATCGCTCACCCCATCTTCACGCCGATGCCGCCCCATGAGATCACGTCGACCTCCCATGCTGCTTTGGTCAAGTGGCGCAAGGAACGGAAGATCTTCGAAGACATCATGAGAGCCCGCTGCCTAACATCTGGAGAGGACGACAACACCGTGACAAGGTCGGTGAAAAATTCGTTCGACCGGAAGCTGTTGGAAATATGGCGTCGCCTTCGTTGGCAAATTGCAGTTGAAGACATCGATGATGCTTGACTGCGTACAGAAATTGACAACATTACCAACTCCGTCAAGAACTACACACTGCCTGACGTACAAGCTTTGTTCAGAAAAGAGTTGCACTTCAACCTGAAAGAAAGTGACGTCAGCGAAAGAGTTCTACAATATTTCATCTCTTGAGAGCGCATTATTAAAGAGCATGGCTTGTATGCATGTTTCGAGTCTGAACCAGGGTCGAAAGAGAAATGCAGTTTACTGATAAACTCGATTACACCAAAGGCACTGAAGGAAGAGGTGAAGAATTCCTTGCGTTATCAACCGCCTGACGCCAAGTCTGATGAATGCGCAAACTCCATGATTTAATACTGGCCAAGGCACTCGAACAAGACAGAGAATTTCGCCGGTCAAAGCGGAAGCGGATCTCAGAAGATGTGCAAGCGCCGCACCAAATCCACAATCGGGAAGAAAAGCGAATGAAGTGCAAAGATAAGTAAGCAATGATCGGAAGTATAGTAGCTCACGTAATACCTACCCCTGCCCCGCATAAAAGGCAGTCGGGCAGCAGTGGAAAAGGAAAACCTGCCGCCACAAGCCCTGCCAAAGGCTGTTTAAAGTGTGAAGGTCTGCAATGGGTATCCAAATGTCCGGAGGCTAGTGATGCTGACAAAAAGCCTTACCGAAGCAGTTTCACAAATTCAAGGCCAAATCGTCTAACGAAGCAGATACGAAGCGTCTTCGGGAAGACAAGTGAAACGAGGCGGGCACTGCTCTGCTGAATGGTGCCCTTCGGAAGCCTTACCGCGCAGACACCGGGTCGGACCGGTGCCTTATAAGCACCAAGATGCAAAGAGAGCTGAATGCAGCAACGGAGAATGCCATCGAAATAAAAAATGGGAAAACCGATTAAAGGCCTGCAATTGGGGGCACATTGGGTTAAGGATGATAGAGCTGTAGACCTGATCATCCAGATTGGCACAGTCGCCGGTATAGTGGAACCCCAGAAGCCTGAGGAATGCTTACTGATTGAATCTGACGACGACGAGTTCATCGCAGGCCAGGATTTACTGAAGGTTTTGGGAATCGACGTCGATAGACTACTTGATCAATTTGCTTAGCCGACAGTTGACAATGAGATTGATCCATATGACGTTGTCGATGACAAACGAACTGAGCCACCAGATATTGTCGAAATATTGGCTGAATTAAACAAACTGTTAGATGATGCTATAAAAGAAGGATTTCCAGTGGTGCATAGGCATGAATTGGAGAAGATGGTAAGAAAACACGACATTTGGAGAATAGACCTTCGTAATGACTCTCCTGCCGAGTTCCGGCTTATGAGATCCGACTAAAAGACGGCGCCACACCCTATAGATGCAAGTCAAGAAAAACTCCCCGGCCCAGAGCAAGTTCATGCGTGACTTTAATAACAAATTTATGGAGCTAGGGTGGGTATACCGGAACCAAGCTAGTCGCTGGGCATGACCAGCACTCCCAGTGAGGAAGCCGGGCACTGATGATTTCCGACAAACGAGCGACTACAAGCCATTAAATGCAAGAACAGAGCCAATAGCTAGGGTAATGCCCAACCTAAACGCCAAACTCCAACATGCTAGGCACAAGAAGCATTATGGTTTTTTTTTCGATTTTATCAAGGGTTCTGGAAACTACCTTTAGCCAAGAGTAGCCAGGAAATTCTATCCTATGCTACTGATGAAGGTATTTTTACACCGCAGGGTAGTTGCGATGCCGCGTTGCACTTTCAGGCTACGATGGAGACGTGTTTGTAGAATTGCTCTACATCTCATTGCTGATCTGAATAGACGATCGTTTGGTGTATGCAGACACTATTGAGGAATATTTAGCCAAATTGTTCGGCACTATGGCTTTTTTTTTAAGTTCAGTGTAACCAAGACACATCTATACCAGCAGTCTGTAACATGGTGTGGAAAATTGATTTCAGAGAAAGGAATTTCACATACTAGCACCTTTATGTCTTCGTGCATGATCTTAAAAGGCTCCCAAGAATTGTCGATTGGTTCCAGTCCTTCCCAGCTGATTAGCAGCTCGTAATCCTGCATATCGGCATTCCAGCGATGGGCATTGATAGCTTCCACCTTCAAAACTATTCCTTGTGCAGAAATATGTTCCCGGAGCTCTTCTGTTACTTCCAAATCGCTCTTTGCGAAAACCTTCAACCGTGAAGCATGTGCGTCGAACGCCTTTCCAGTTGAGATGTTTGACAGTAAATGAACGGGTATTGCATCTCGTGACTGTGTACGGCCCCGTCCATTTCACCAATATTTTGTTTTGGATCTTCTCATCCACTCTGGATCTCAGGACATAATCACCTACTGAGAAATTCACCATCTGATAATTTTCTGCCCATTTCTTGTTCAATAGTGTCATTTTTTCATGCTAGCTCTTCACTTCTCGATGCATCTGCTCAATACTATTTCTCAAATGTAGTCAATGACTCATCGATGCGTTGCACTGAGGTGTCCACGCTGATTGGGCTATAGCGGGGGACGAAAAGTGTCGAGATCGGACTTGGACACGGCAAGCCTGTAAAAATCTCGATTGGAGCCCTTCCAGCAAGCGACTGCACTGGCGAGTGGTTGAGAATGGCTTGCACAAGCCGAATTAGATGTACCCAGGCTTAGTATGCAAGTGAATAATTCAGTATCATTGCACGCAGTACTCGCAACACATCTCGATTTATCCTCTCGACCGAGCCATTTAACCATGGGCTGTATGCTACCACAAAGTCTTGCTTAGCCTTCATACTTTTGCTGAGTCGGGCTAATACTTGACTTTAAAAATGCGTGGCGTTGTCGCTAATCCATGTCGTAGGTACTCCATACCGACTGTGCCACCAGAGCATTGCCTCTGCTGCCACTGCACTTGTTGGGGCGTCGCAGGGGATCAGTTCACAGAAATGACTGAAGTTGTCCTTAAAAATCAACAGATATTTGCTTGATCCAAAACTTTCTTCTAAAAATAGAAAATCCCAGTTAATAGCTCCATTCCGTATTTCAGAGCGAAACGATGGCCCCCATGGCCGTAGTATCACTCCTCCCCCCTTTACATGATGGCAAAGTAAACAGCGTTTCAGGAAACGACGAACTAATTGAGCCATGTTCTTAAAACCGAAGATTTTCTTGATGTGGTTCAGCATCACTGCTTCCCCATGATGGCCCTGTGGCTCGCAGAGCACAACTATAAACAAACGCTGGATGATGATGCTTGCGGCTTGTGGCATCCAAATCCTGCTGTTATATCTGTAGATACCATCACTATCAACAGTGCAATCCCTAGGCTTGTCGTGCTCGTGTACTTGTTGCGTTGCTGCTATCTCGTTTAAAGTGGGCCAAACAAAAGAGTCCTTGTCCAGAGGTCTCAATAGTGGTTGCTTTTCCAGTTTAGTCTGCATGCGTGTTAATCTCTTGAACCTCCGACATGATGCTGACCTCGCACTACCCCAACGAGAAACTAAAGCTGCCCAAATGTTCTGCTCGCTTTCGATATGGGTAATTGTATACCGGTATTCTGCCAGTTTGAGCGACCATCGTAGCAGTTTGCCGCGTACATGTTTTTCAACTTTGGGTTGGGAGCAAACATGTATATAAGATTTGGATGGTCACAAAATATCCTGAAACCACCTGGTCGCAGTAGCAAGTCGTACAGGTCATCACATGCCAAGACGATTGTAAATGCCTCTTTTTCAGTGACAGACCAATGTTGCTGCGCACTGGTTAACGTTCCGCCTTTACACGTCAAGATCTTGTGTTGCTGTTCCGTGACACTCTAGTTCTGTTCCCAGTTCTCAACTTGTGTCAAAACAGCAGACCAACCGATATCTGACGCGTCACAGAACAAAGTAAACGTAGCGTTGTCTTAGAATGGGCTAGCATGGCTGTATTAGCCAAAAGGTTTCTGACTTGTCGAAGCTCATCACCTCATCCTTACTTAGTTGTATAGATATACCAGACGCTATTCGCTTCGTCTTACGTTTCCCTTCTAGCGCACGATCCAACAACTTTGTAGTGGCTGAACGGTCCTAGCGTAATAGACCAAACTGTCCCGCATCCAGTTGGATGTGCAGATAAATTGTTGTAGCTCGCCCCCAGCAGTAGTCGGAGGCATGCTGGATAGAGCAGCAACTCGGTTTGGGTCATTTGTGCCTACGTCGATAAGTCAAAGGACAACAAGCTCATTGACTACCACAACCTACTGAAGGCGTGACCTGGCTCAAGTGCAGCACATTTGCAGCTAAGGCACGCTGATGCAGTTACACTATCTGCACTGTGTGTACTAGAGTCGCCATCAAACTAGAGTAAGTCGTTAAGGCACTAGAGTCACCCAATTTGCATATATTACATGGCAAATATATGGCTACATGTAAACTGTAACAAGTTACACATTGATAGGGATAACCAGTTGGTAATATCTGCTGTTTACGGGAATTTATTTTCCCCGAAGTTGTGCAACATGCGTTTCATGAAGTTGCATTAACGACTTCGCTCATTCGCAGCTAAATCGAATCGTACTTAATAAATCGGTACGGTGTTTCATCGAAGGTCTTCGACACTAATTTCCAAATTGTATTGCATTTAATCGGTTGCTGGTCTCGAGTCTTGTTTAGTAGACAAATTAAAAACTGAATTGAATAGATTTATACAAACTTACGCGATTTGGTACAAGTAATGTGAAACAGAGGGAAAGTACAATTATTTACAGTATTCGTCTTTACTTCCATAATATCATTGTAGGTATTAACGGAACTCATACCTTGGGATGAAATAAAACGATATAAGAAAAACTATCTTAGCCAACGCAAAAGGCTCTTAAAAACTTTTCGCTGAGCATAAGTATGCGAATAGTAAACGTTGTAGATTGGTTTCTGGTCGATGTTCTCCAGAAAGTTAAAAAAAAAATCTGAACTCGTATTGCAGACCGTTGTGCTGTATTTGCAACCTGTTCTGTTACTTTGCCTGTGTCCGTGCTTCCTTCATTTTCTTCATTTTGTTTAGACTGCATTCCAGTATGGAGAAGACCATCTACTATGCTAAAATCTAAGTAGCCTTGTGCGTGTTCAATCTCACAGTCAGAGGAGCGTCGAAGCAGTCAACTGCCTTCTCGAGTAGCATGGTCACATTAGCATAGCTCAAGCCAATACTGATAGCGGTATCAAATGCTGGCTTCTCCTTCAACAGCCAAAGAAAATCGGGGTGGTTATCATGCGACCCATACAACCATTCACCACCGATAATCTCCTCGTTTTCATCTAGTTCCAGAAGGTAGTCATAATCCGCTCCGACGGTAAAGTTTTCGTTCAGGCCTGACGCCACAAGGCCACCGTCCGTGTATGTCTCGTTGATCCACGACAGACGTGACTTCGTATACACGATGCTCTTGGAGGCATTATTCCACGGGTAATCTGGAAGCCCATAGAAGGTCTGCGCAGCCTTCTCTAGGGTCATAGCTGTTTGCTCATACACCTTGAAGCCGACTACAGGCTGGTTCCAGACCTCGGTGCCAGCATCTCTGTCGATGATAAACGTTTTATTCAGCAAACCCAGGAGGTTAGAAGCGGCAATGTGGAAAAACCCGGGGTTGAGGTCACGATATGATTCATCCGTGTGACTGCCGTACTCATCAATCGAGTCATTGTAGCCATTGTAGCGTGCGCCAGTAAAGACGGTGGAGATGTTTGAGTCGTCATAAACAGTAGTAACCAACGCCTTGATATCCATAGGCTGGAACGTGATCCCGTTAAACGTGACGGGGCAGTTAGGCTCTCGTTCAAAAATGGCAGCGGCTGCCCACGCGTGGCAAATGCCGTGCCAGGTCGGGATGCAGTATCCTGAACTTGCACCATCACGCATACCACACACCGTGTCGACGTCGGGGTCAAAGCACTCCTTGTCAGAAGTGCATACCGATCGGCTACTCCTCGAGTCAACTCCATTTAGAGCCGAAACATTGTCCATGAAGGCTTTCACGTTCAGATTGAAAGCCGTCGCGTACTTCTCAGCAGGGCTCGGTTGGTCTTTGTTCCACTTGTGGTTGATCCCGTCCTGGTAAACAGGCCAGTTCGAACCAGCCCATGGTGATGGCTTATACGTAGCCGAGGTGGGCAAGTTCTTAAGCTTCACCTCCATCTTGGATTTGAAAAACTCCTCCAGTTTGGCGATGTCTTCGTTCAAGATGGACTCCAGTTTGCGGTTCGCAGTGTTTGGGTTCTCTGGCACTGTGACCGTGCACGTACCGTCGTCTTCAATCTCAGTTCCTCGGCCTGGAAAATTCTTGTTGCCAATCTCGTACGAGGTACATGTCGTGACCGGGTCATCATTAAGCGACGAAGCGTCTACCTCGTTTAACTGCAGGTGAAGCGCGACAATGGCTGCGAAAACGAAGGGGATGTTGCGCATGATACAGATTGTTGTTGGTCGAGGTTCTTGCTGTCGGGAAAATCCGGAAATGAGCAAGTGAGCAGCCCCGTGCATGGTATGGCTTCCCCGTGTGTTCACAGTTCATAATCTCGAACAGCAAGACAATGAGTTCCAATCCTCGAATGGTGCCGCGCTACAAATCATTGGCTCGACTCGCAAGCATTGGCTTGTCGGTCTGAATAATGTCGCGCATCTGTCCTTTCATAAACCAAGTCGCTGTTCGAATGATTGTTACTCGAATAACGGATTCTACTATTAATAGTAATCATTCTGTTAATTCCGTTTAGCATGAATGTGACCGTAGCAGCTACTGTATCACGTAGCAGCAGATTGCGTGAGATCTAGCAACACACACGAAATGTTACCTAACATGGGCACCGGCGCAACGTTGTGAAATGTGGACTAGGTACTAGTAGCTTCATCAACGAGAATGGTAGGGTGACGCAGCAGTAAAGCACCGGGTTGGCGGTTTCATAGAGCTTAAACAATAAAAACAATGGGAAGAACGCTATTGGACTAGTAACATTCCATTTATATAATACCAATGTATTCTTGATAAGGCACATGCTGAAAGGGAGATTAGCAGGTTACTGTACGTGCTGAACATCCTCGTACCATCCACTTGAAAAGTATCCAGCGTATCATGGTACACATGCGTCGCTTAGTTGATTGGACGACAATGCATTTATCTGTGGTCATTCTCTACATTGTATAAAATATGCTATTTTGAGGTGGTGTTGCCAGCGCAATGACTGACTCAACGAATGATGCATGAGTAATCCACAGCTTACTTCAATAATGACGTCATCTACAATGTTGATAGAAATTATCAGTAATGTCACTGTTTATCGGTTTGGTTGGAGTGGCGACTTATGCTGGTACGGAGATTCATACCATTATTGTATAAAGAGACCTTGTCATGCTCATTCCCCAGAGGTAAGATTGATCACCGATAGGGAGGGAAAAGTATTATATCAATGTGGCACCGGTAATATTTTACTAATGCCATGTTTTACACGGAGAAGCACTAGTTTTTCATTCTAATTTACTGTTGGTATTGCTGCAGTCCTAGCAGCAACTTGTAAATGGTTCCTGTGGAGTACTGACAAGGACTACTTACAGTAAGAAAAACTTCCACGGGTAGTGTACTCCGCAGACCTGTATATTTTGCAACACACCAACTAAATCTATGCGATTCTGTTTGTACTCTTATTTAGAATATATAGGCAAACCCCTTGAAGGATATACCTTTGTCAGTTGTTTGGACAAATCCTCATTCAATAAGATCGAGGATGCTCTACTTGGTTTACTGTAATTTGTCGGTGTTGCTGCCCACTGCAGCACAACAACGTTTGGCGGCTACTATCAAATTGGTAAACGAGTAGCCCCTGTCCAGGCCACGATCTCGACGACTTGCAAGCAAATTGTCGGATTGCAATTGTGTACACCGGCGCCACAAGGGGGGGGGACGTTGACGTGCATGGATAAATGCGTCGACCCTTCGTGTTATTGTGCACGAATAGTATAGATAAACTTATAACCGCCTGCAATGATATCATTGGTCCCAATCAAGTATGTTAAGATATTTCACCTAGAAATCTTTGACAAAGTTAAACAAAAACGAGTTTCTTGGTCTGCTAATCAGTCAATCGACTGTGTTTTTATTTACTAGTTGTACTATCAAGGGTCTGATGTAGCAGCTTAGCCAGTTCTGGTGCTACAGCTACGAAGTAGGCGCAGATGCGCCGAAAAGGAACCACAAGACTTAAGACACATTTACCACTTTTTTTGCTAAATTTCAGAGCTTTCGGGCGGAGCACGACTTTGTGAAATATATGGTAGTCTTGCATGACTAAAACAGTAAACACTTGGGATATGGTTAGACAATGATTGCGTGTCGAGCCAATGATTTGCAGTTTGAGGATTGGGCCGCATTGATTTACAATTCCATAGTAACAACGGAACCGTTACTGACGAAGCGTGTGCAGTGCTGCTCAGTTGATCATTTCCGAATTTTCCCGACAGCGATAAGTTCTCCTGAACAATAACCTCAACGAAGATATTCATGCCTAGCATCCGCTTCGTTTCCACGGCCATATCCTTCATCGCACTATACCAGCAGATAAGCTCGGTGGTAGCATCTTCGCTCCAAGACGACCCGGTAACTACATGCAGCTCGTACGATCTCAGCAATAAGAACTTTCCGGGACGCGGGACCGCAATTGAAGACGACGGTACCTGCAAGGTCACGATGCCGGGGAACCGTGGTGCTCCACATCGAAAACTCGAGGTAATTGAGGGCAGCGATACTGCCAAATTGGAAGAATACTTCGGTGTGAAACTGGAGACTAAACTGAAGAACCTACCGACTTCGGCTATTCATCATCCGTCTCCATGGAATGGCCCGAGCTGGCTTGTCTATCAAGACAGTATCAACTACGAGTGGAAGAAGGGTCAGCTGAGTCCTGCTGAGAAATACGCGACGGCCTTCGGTCTGAACGTCACAGAGTTCATGGACAAGGTTTCGGCTCAAAACGGCATCGATTCGGAAATGAATTACAGCACGCCTTGTACCACTGACAACGATTGTGACTTCACGACTTGCGCTATCCGTAAAAATGCGATATCGGGCTATTGCATCCCGACTTGGTACGGTATCAGCCATGCATGGGCCCCGGCCTCCGTTCTGGAGAAAGGTCCCGTTTGTGCAGTAAACTTCAACGGCGTCGTCTTCCATCCTATCGACGTCATGGGACTGGTCACTGACATCTATGACGGCGTCAAAGTATCGACTATCTTTACTGGGTCTCGCTACAACGGTGGTAACGAATCAATGGATGCCTATGGCCGAAGCGTGGAGTACTCGTATCGCGACGTGAATCCTGGGTTCTTCCACATCGCTGCTACCAACCTTCTAGGCAAGCTCAATCACACCTTCATCATTGACAGATACGCTGGCTATGGGGTGTGGAATCAGCCTGTTTACGGGTTCGAGGTGATCGAGCAGACGAGCATGACTTTGCAGGAAGCCGCACAAACTTTCTACCGTTTGAACGCATACCCTTGGAATGACAATGCTTCTAGCATCGTCCACATCACGGCCAACCTGTTGTGGAATAACGACGTGGATGCTGACGTACGCGACTCCATTTTGGTCATGAATTCTGACCCGAGTGCGACTTACGAGTACCTTCTGGAATTGAACAAAGCCGAAGAGATCATTGGTGGAGAGTGGTTGAACAAATCAAACGACAACCACCCAGATTTCATTTGGTTTCCTAAGGGAAAACCTACTTCGGACACGGTGACGAATATTGGTTTGAGCTATGCCAACGTGGCGATGCTGCTAGAGAAAGCTGCAGCGTGCTCCCACTCGACTTAAGAGCGTGGTTTGAAAACAATTTACTTCGTGGTTGGATCGATGATCAAACGCAGGATGTTTGTCAACTTTGATACTCCGAGTACATGGGTTTACAAAAAAAAAAAGAAGAGAGAGAGAGAGAGAGAGAGAGAGAGAGAGAGAGAGAGAGAGAGAGAGAGAGAGAGAGAGAGAAAGAGAGAGGTTATTTTAGGTCACGTTCCCGATGCTTAAAAAAAAAGACATTCCATATCAACGATTAAGAAAAAGTTTTCTAAAACTGTTTGAATTCTCAGGGTTGCGGGTAGGGCGGTGCGAGGAACTACCAATTATTTTTATGCGTCATCCCATTTCACGTTATCCCGAGCCGCCTCACAATGCAGACTTCAAAATTCGTCGTGTTGAACATGACACTGGACATTATGCTGATCTCTGATATGGAAGAGTTTTTAAGCACGTTCGGCATGTCAGTATTGCCGTCCAGGGGTTCCGAAAATGCTATTGTTATTTGGTTCGTGAATGCAGCAATACAAATAACTTTGCATGCCTTCCTTCCAGAGTTGACTGCAATAATTGGATTTATTGCAAGAAATACATAGACGTTTGTGTGTAGTATGGATATTGTGAGCTTATTGCGTGCCACGGATGACCTTGCGCACCGTTGCTGCGCTCCAGTACGAGCGGTTCACCTTCAGGAAGAGGATACTTTCTACATGTAATGGAGTCATGGCTTGACAGTGCATACCAACTACTGCCTTCGCTTGACTAAAGAATCTCTCGAAGACGTTCGAAGTCGGAGCGATCACAGCTATCTGATCGTTAAAGCGTGAAGTAGCTTGACGAAGCCGTCTCGCACGCTCGAGCGTA